TCCAGATTTTCGAGGACATGACACTTGATAGGAAGATGTGGAGGTCGAGTATTAGGGTTGTAGGTTAGGAGGTAGTTGAGTCGTGCCTTACTTCGTACCATTGTGGGACTAGCCATGTAGGGTTTTTGTCTAAGATAGCTATTGGCAATGTTGTGGCTTACTATTTCGTTTTTCAGTGCATGTCCTAATTACTAGCTATTGCTTTTGCTTTGCATCTTTTTTCTAAATTTCATGGTGTTCCTAATTTTCTTATGATTGTTGTGGTGATACTAATATTTACTAATATTGTCTCCCTTTACTTTGCATCTTTCTTCTGAATTTCATGATGTTCCTATTTATCCTATCATTGTTGTTGTGATACTAATATTGTTTCCTTTTTGTCATTTTGTCATTTTGTCTTTTTATTTTTTTGAGCCGAGGGTCTTTCGGAAACAGCCTCTCTACTCCTTCGGGGTAGGGGTAAGGTCTGCGTACACACTACCCTCCCCAGACCTCATTAGTGAGATTTTACTGGGTTGTTGTTGTTGTTGTTGTTGTTGTTATAGACTATAGCTAAAGGAAAAAGTTTTCAAAAAAGATCTGAAAAATATAAGAGTTAAAAAATAAAAAATAAAAAGATGAAAATACTAAAAAAAAGAAGAAAGAAAAGTAATGCCAGCAAAATAGTAACGATACCAAAGTAAATGAAATAACAGTAATAATACGATTGAAGAAGAAAGAACAGTTGACATAGTTCATTAATATTTCTAGTGGTAAACTTTAATTTAACACACTTTTATTTTTTCAGATCCCTTGTTTCACTTTGGTAGCTAGTAATATTGATCGCATTAGTGCACAAGAAATAACCTACATTTACATATTATTAAATCGTATTAAAAGAGAAAGATAAAACATAATTTTAGTTTTATTTCTTGAGTTTCTTAAGACCATCTGTCTTTTAGAATGATTCGCCAGGTCACTATATATGAATGAATATCACATACATCAAATTATTCCTGAAGTTGTGCCTTTAATACACAGCCAAACGCTATGGTCGTGACTGTATTAAGTAAATTAAACAAATATTAACTATTTCAATTATGCAGGATCAAGCCTTATAACCTTTCCAAGCTGTCTTAGTTATTTTTTATCGTCTAATCGGACTTGCTTAAATTCATATGATATGATATGATATAACTTTCAAGCTTTCTAGCTTAGGTTTTTTGTGAAACATGAAAACATGAGCAAGCTAAAATCGTTCACTGCTCGTATGACCTCACGTCATTGTATATATTCTATTCACTTGTTTAAATTTTAATGATTTCAATTTTTTGTTAAAACTACAAATATTTTATCAAATTATTATTCGAAACCAAACTTGAATAATTCAGTTTCTGAATCAAAACCTATTCTGTCAAGTTTGTGCTGAGGTTTGCCAAGAGATACACTTATGGCATCCAATGGCCCAAACAGACGTAAAAAATAGAAGATTTTGACATAATAAATTCCAGTAAACGGATGGAAACCTTGCCATATTTATATATTATTCAGAAAAAGGAGTTAATTAATTGCTGCATCAAATACTAGTAAGTATTATATAAAGCCGAAAAATTACATTGCACCTCCATATATTATTTACCCGTAACAGAAAAAGGGAATAAAGCAAAATACCCTCTTCTTAATCCTTCCTTAAACCACCTAATAAACTCTGTTTTATTGTGTTTTTTTTCCTCTTTCTTTTTTTCATAACTCAAGCTTTTGGTGCTTCTTTAGCCAACATTGGAGGCTGTGACATTGAAACACTAATGGCTACTGCAGTACTTTGCATTTCTATGTCATTTACTTCTCTATCTTCTAAAATCATCATTTGGTTGTTCTCTGTAACTACTTTCACTGGTTCAGGAATTGCAGCCTCAATTTCTTTCTCCTTATATTCCTTGTATTTTCCCCATAAAACTGAGTATAGTCCAGCCACAATTAGCACTGCTCCTAGCACACTTAAACCCAAAAATATAGAAAGTGTCTTCTTTTTAGAACAAACTGAAAAATAAATATGGACATGTAAAATGAAACAAAGAGAGTATGACATAGAAGAAATTGACTTACCCTCCAAGATATATTTTTTCAGCAAGAATGAAAGAGCCCATAATAGCAACAATGATCATCATCAATGGACTGAAAGCAGTCACAAAAACAGGTCCTCTTTTCTCCATTACAAGACCTTGAACATAGTATGCAAGACTTGATGATACAATACCCTGAAATATTATAAAACAATATCCATAATTATATTTTGTCATTAATCAATGGTTGTTGGTTTTAGGAGAAGAAGGGTCAGAGATTCGTGACATGAATGAGGTTCGATTGAATTCCCTTCGTCGAATAGTTATACTGTGCCAATAGATTTAAAAGATTCTTCTATATATACATATATATATGAACAATTGAATTCCTTTGACCTTTTTTTAGGTCGATGCACAAAGCATTTCGCATTCACACAGGGTAGAGGGAAGGGTTGCACCCCAAGGGGTGTGATGTGGACAATCTACCGTAATGCAAGCATTTGTGGTTGCTTTCACGATTCAAACCCGAGACTTATAGGTCACACGGAGATAACTTTATCGTTGTTCCAAATCTCCTTTTCTTGAATTCTCGCAACATAAGAGAATATTCTAGTGAAGTAGCAAGGTGGATTTGCCGCTAAGGTGTAATATTCTTGCAATTTTTTGAATCCCTTATTTATAAGAAGAGGACCTTTGGCCAACGATAAAGTTATCTTATCTCATGGGTTCGAGCCGTAGAATCAGTCATTGATGCTTGCATCGGGTAGGCTGCCTCACACCCTTCGGGGTGCGACCCTTTTCCGAATCCTGCGTGAATACGGGATGCTTCGTACGCCAAGCTGCCCTTTTTATTAGAATTCATAGGAGGGATGAGGAGTAAAAAAAAGAACATACAGCATAGGCAGCAGCAAGAAGGTTCATGTCAAAACCAATGGCCCAAGCAGAAGTTTTATGTTCCATCACTAAGGTGACAGCAATTGATTGCAAAGTTCCCATGAAGCAAACAAGTGCAGTTAGAGAAAGTGGAGCAGTGTACTTCCTCATTGTAACATTCTGTCACAAAACATCAAATAAAAATACATTAACAACAACAACTATTTCACAAAAATTTAAAAAATTTAGGGTATATATTACATACCTGAAGTATAAAGAAAGAAGCCCATGCAAAAGTGGCAAGAATTAGAAGGATTGAACCTTTAAGCCAATCTTTATCAGTAGCTTCATTGGGTTCAGGAACATTAGAAGTATTTGTATGGATATTATTTGACCAAACCAAATTAATAACATGTCCTTTGTACAATGTCATCAACATGGCTCCAGCCACTGTCACTATAGTACCCACAACCTTTGCTTGGCATCTCAACTTCTTTATATGCACCTTCTCCATTCTGAATTCATTCTTTATTTGTTAGTTCCAAATTTTGGAAAAGAGTAGAATAATAATTAGAAGAAATATTAAATTGAACATATATGTATATATGTACCTGCAGAGGACAGCCATGACAAATGTCATTGCAGGAAGCATGTTGCTCATGGCACATGAGAATGTTGGGGATGTAAACTTAAGTCCCATATAGTAGAAGTTTTGATCAATCACTGGCCTATTTGATCAAATCATAGATTTAGATTTTTTTTGGTTTACATAAGTAAAATGTTTAAGTTATATACACTGATCGTTTATGATTTTTTTACGTTACCAATATAGTTTAATATGTGATAGCACATTAATTGTCATTTTTATCAGGTTATATACTGATTGCTCTTATTTCATATATCATTAACTACTTTAGAAGTGACTATACAACAACAACAACAACATACTTAATATTATCCCAGCTGTGGGGATAGAAGTGGCTATATCATATAAATATATTATTTATTCCGTCAGTGTATAGAACTTAAACTCATATAGAAAATCCGAGATTGGAGTTTCATAAATAGGACATAGAGAGACACTCACCCTAGAAGGCCCAATACAAAAATTTGCAAGAACATCATGAAAGTCATCTTTGGTCTGAGTTTTCTGTACAAAACAAAGACAATTTAAAGAGTTAGCATTTTCATTTTGAATTACTTCACAACTTGATAATGTAAGAGAAGTTTTAACTAAGCTAAGGACTTTTTCTTGTAGGCAATTAATTATATATTACCTTTCAAGAACAAGAGCAAAAGGAGCAATAGCTGCAGTAGCAAAGGCATGTCTATANAAAAAATTAAAAGAAAATATAAGTTCCTAAAATTGATAAATGCCGATCTAATTTAGCTAGTTCAATAAATAAAGAATATTACCTTGTAAAAATTCTTATATGCTTTATTGTGATTTTTGATGACTTATGTAGGAATATATGATGAAAAGTATTGTTGTTTTTGTTACCTAATACTGAAAACAAGTAACAAATAATACTATGATATAGCTAATTTTGCTCTATTTTTTAATTTCTTTCACCGCTAATGCTCTTCTTGTGGAAATAAATTTATGTAACTTAGGAGTTATCAACTTAAAAAATAATTTTACTTACATGAAGATTTTGAAAAGAATTGAATAAGATTTTTTCTAATTAGTAAATTCAATTTTTTTTTGTTTTTGCATTGGGGCTTTGTTCTGTTAAAATAACTTAGAAAATATAGATAATATTTTAACTCCATTACTTCTCAAACAATGATTTTTCTCTTAATTAATTTTTGAATAATATTTCAAAATTACATTCATTAATTAAAAAAATATTTAATTTAGTACATATCTCTTGCTTTTAATAGTTACAATCTATAGAAGTTTCTCCTTATAAGAATAAGTTCCCTATAAGAAGAATGAATGTCTAAACATATTTTATATAGAAATTGCCGTGAGAAACTATAAGGAAACGAAAGTCTTACATAATACATAGTTCATACAGAAAAGGATAGTAGTTCAAATATAATTAAGACAATAATTTTAATTCAAAATAAGTAAAGATTTAATAACGAAAATTTTAGTTGATTTCAAAGTCCTAAATATTAGAAATATAAAAATTAAATTATAATTTTTTCTATTGTGAAGGCTATTTTAAAAAGGTAAAAAGAAACTAACGATATTTCGTTAAGGGTTTTCGTACTTTTAATATAGTATAGATGCTTCTAGAAAGTAATATATAATATCAAATACATTATTTTTATATTCTATACGTATTTATAAATACATTATTACTATTTTACTTTTAGTAAAAATAAATAACATTTATTCTTGTATCATATATACAGGTACTATTTTTAAGAGCTATTTCAATCCTAGTTTTATTATTATTGATATTTAATATTTTGAAGTAAATAAATTACAAAATTATTTAAATTCTTAATTGGATGTTTTCTAATGCTATATGAATTGTACAAACACTAAAATAAATAAGTGAATAAAACAAAAGCTGAAAATAAGAACAAAATTCCGTCGTTGACATACATGAGATCTTTCACATGTTTCCTTTCAATTTTTCTTTTTCTTTTATTTTTTAATGTTTTTTCCCTTTAATATAATACTCCTAAATTTGAATGGAGCTAAAAGCAAAAAACTTTATTAAGAAAACAAACCCTTAAAAAGTGGACGAAACTGCCCTAACTTGGATTGAAAAGCGCAGGAATTCTAGAAGTAAAAAATTAAACTCCTAAATATTAGGAAAATAATTAAATGACTACTCCTAAATATTATAGAAATAATTAAATAAATACTCCTACATATTAGAAAAATAATTAAATGTCTATTCCTAAATATTAAAAAAAAAATCTAATGATTATTTTGTCTAATGTGAACTATATTTTAAAAGGGTAAAAAAGACGAACGACATTTCGCTAAGGGCTTTCGTGCTTTTAATATAGTGTAGATATAGATATATATCCATAGAATTTAAGTTTTACATACTAAACAAAATTTTCAACACAATGTCCCGTAACTAAGTCAACTGCAAGTAAATATCTATATTAAATAAGAATTTAAAAGATAAGTAATTTGCTACCATCGATTTATAACAATAACAACAACAAAATCAGTGTGATTCCACAAGTGGACTCTGGGGAGAGTAGTGGATACGCAGACGTTATCCCTACCTTATGAAGATAGAGAGATTGTTTTCAATAGATCTCATCTCAGTAAGAATATATAGTCATAGTATTATTAAAAAGAGATACATTAACGAATACAATAATGGAAAAGAAGCAATAAGAAAAAGCATTAGTAACAACAAATTAATAAGATAACCGAAGCATCAATTTATTTGATAGAATAATATTTATGATTTATAAATTCTTTATATTTTTAATGTATATTACTGTCTATGATGAAACACATTAATCATGTTCAGAGAATCCCACTAGGGAAATCTGCTAAAGAAATTCTTGTTTTTTCCTCAATCCCCCAAGTGGTAAAGTGATTTGAGAGCTACCAAAATGAAAGAAAGGTAAATTTAGTGCTATGCTGATGCTACATTGATCAAATGGGAGTTGGTGGTGGGGTCCTCTTTTTAACATGGACCCCATCAGGCTATCGTCATTCCAAAATGCGGCATTCCGACACCGGTGATCGGTCGGAATTATGGTGTCATACATCGGACTTTCAATAGTAGTATTATCGTTGTTACCATAAATAAACAGTTAGATTTTTTTAAGTTTATGGGATTTGCTGATGTAAACTAAAGTAAATGTTTGTGTTAGTGTGCCACTAGCTAAGCACACTAATGGTTTTTGGTTTTGAGTTTTCTGTCCCCATCCAAAAAAAAACAGCGCAATGTGCTATGCATCCGGCGTTCATGCAATGTTTCCAGGGATGTTATTTGTATATCATGTCTTTTTACAAATTTGAATTAAAAAATATGAGCTTTTCAGATCTCTTATGTATAAAAGATAGATTTCTTACGTGTAAAAGTAATTCTCTCATGTGTAAAAATAATAGATAGGGTTATAAAATTAAAAACAAGTTTGTAAACAGCCAAAAAATCAATTGACCCGTCCGAGGAAGGGTCACACCCGAGAGGTATTGATGTAGGCAACCTATCCTAGTGTAAATATAATGGCTACTTCTACTTTGAACTCGTGACATATATGTCATACGGAAAATAATTTTACCGTTAATTATCCAATAATAGGAATTATTAATGATTCATTGATTAAATAGAATTAATTCCAAGAAATTAATGGTTAATTAACTTGAGTGGTTTAGCCAATCATTGTTTTGACAACATAGGATGCAAACTATGGTACTTCTAAACGAAATAAGATTTTGAAAATGGATGAATTATTTATTTATCTATTTATTCCTTTCTCCCCCGAAATTAGGAGAATTGACTAGTAATTTGACGCTCGAGGTATTATCTATAGGTGTCAAGGGGTCGGGTCGGGCCGGGCCGATTAACCGATTCTCATGTGACTTGACTATAACAGATTGTACCGGTCCGATTAACCGGTACCAAAAAATTATACGGCACAGTCTGGTCCCTGTCCCAACCCAGCCTTGCCCCTTACTACCGGGCCGGTGTGACTTGACTATAACAGATTGTATCGGTCCGATTAACCGGTACCAAAAAATTATACGGCACAGTCTGGTCCCTGTCCCAACCCAGCCCTGCCCCTTACTACCGGGCCGGTCCGGTCCGGGCTAAAATCGGTCTGGACCGGTCCGGAACTGGGCCAACCCGGCCCGTTTGACTATCCAACAAGATTTCAGAAGTTTAAGGTTCGATTTTCACTAGAGCTTCTATTTTACATATATATCCTTTAGATCATCAAAACAATATGAAAAAAAAACTTAGAAAAGAACGAATAAATTAAGAGAATCGACTAAATAGTTTTATGATAGAGGTATTATCCTAGATTTCAGAGGTTTAATGTTCGATTTTCACCAAACGTGATCTATTTTTCTTGCTCCTAATTGATCAACTCCTCTGCGCCCTAAAAATAATAGGGAAAGTAGAAAGAAGAGGGATAAGAATCACTGCCTTACGAAGTGGAAGATGATTTATATAGTTAAAGGAATGTAGTTCCGATTCGTTAAATCTTCTAAAATATTTAAGGAATTATATTGGTTAGTGCATGCTGATAGTAGAAATTAAAATATATTTGTGACTGTGACATATCAATTTTTGAATTGACAAGGGTATGAGGTCATAGTTTTATTAAATTTTACTACTCTATTTACTCACACACTTTTTATCCAAATGTATTACATATAGAATACATAGTAAATCTTTGATTTAAAATTATATTACGTATTAGATTTATAGATATCTGTTGATCGTGATCTCTCCACTGGCAGTCGAATGTACTAACATCATCCGTAATCCAACTTAGAATAAGTTAATTACAAAATAATAAAATCAGTAAGTAACTAAATAAGACTTAGCACCAATAGCTTTATAACCTAAGCTTAATAATCTAGTGATATCAGTGGGAGTTTCCACACAGTATGAGTTTTGATTATATTACCTCAATTCTCCTTTCACTTCCTCTTGCCAGATGCTCGATGCGATAGAAAAGAATTGTTAAAAAAAAAAGGTAAATAAGAGTTGAATTCGTCCTTGTTAGAAATTACTACTAAAACTTTTGAGATTTCTTCAAACTTTTCAAGTGCTACAAGGAGTTATTACTTCTTGATGCACTAATTAGAATTCTTGAAATTTCGTTTCAAAATGCTTAAATGAATTGCATAAAGTTCAATTGAACATTGGTCAATTAATATTTATTGGAATAGTTTCATCTATTTATACTAGTAGTAATGAAGTTCCAAACTCTTAGTGTAACTGATTTGATTCAAATTTACTTATGCAAATACCCAAAATAATCCCTGCATATTATATTATTCTTGAATATGACTAAGAGTGAAATTCAAATAAATTATGCGACCCTCGTAAAATGGCTACCACAACAACAATAACCAGATCCGAAGGGACGGCCCGTTTGGTTTGAAAGGGCGTTGACTGTTGTCCATACGGGCGTCGGGAGTTCGATTCATTTAATTTCAACCTCAATGCCTTCTGGTCTGAGCTTGTCGCACATGATTTGTCTGGTGTTGTTTACCTTCCCAGTATGGTTTACATGCTATTACACAGTTGGGGATTTACCTAATGCGCACAGAGTATTCACCCGAAGGGCAGAGACTGTGACAAAAATTATAGCGACTGCGGATTTTCCTGGGGTTCCAAAAAAACAAAAAACAAAAAAACAAAAATTCAGTATAATCCCT